ATTATTCAGACAAAACTCTGAAGGCACCACATTAGACTGCCTTTTCAGCCCGTGATAAGCTTGGTGGCTGGTATGCGCTTCAGACGAGGCTGGTTTCCTGCGCTGGATGCTTGCAGCTACTCATTACCGGACAGGAAAAGCAACATTCCCCACGTGGCCCGGGCCCTGGATAAGACGCTGCTGTTCAAGTCGTTTTTAAGTGCTGTGATTACCGTCATGTTAAGTAGCTGTAAGTGTGAGCTGGTTGGACCTTTAGTTGGGGCCTGGAGGGAGGGGAAGTTCGAGCTACATTGCTAGTAGGCCAAATGTCGCCAGCAACTCAGCTTGAAATGTTACAGCCTTTTTATGGCCCCTAATTTCTTCCCTGCAATTCAGCCAACCTGCCCAGTGTGTACACACACTGCACGGCTACCGAAATTGCTGACTGCTTCCCATAGTTTTAATTGCATCACACAATAGTGATGTTCCCTTCCCTGTCTTCTCTCAAACACCCTGGGTTTTCTCTCTCTTGCTCTCTCTCTCTCGTTTCCAGTTAAAAGTTTCAAAAGAATTACAGAAGGAATAATAGTAGAAGAAAAAAAATCGTGGTGAGCAGATGATGCAAAAGAAAGATTCAAACCAATTGAAAGGGCAGAAGAAATAATGGCATTATAAAGTGAGATGTATTTATTCACCCTACAAATAGTCACTACAGGATAAGGCACTATATCAAATGCAAGTATTATTATTTAGCAACTCAAACTAACTTCCATTTTATTGTTCAGAGGATTTGTCTTGTACCTTGCAATATTTAAGTTGTTTTTAAACTGAGAGAGTGTGTTTTTATAGCCACTTTCTCTGTTTGTGGGAATGGGAGGCTTCACTGCCCTGTTTGGTCTGGTCTCGTTGCCCTCCTCCACCTTCCAAAGATACAAAGTGACTTTGCCCCCAGGGGGGATTGTATCAGATAATGTTTATTTCCCTTCCGTCCCTCTGGACCATGCCTGGTCTCCACTCACTGTGGATTATACAGCTGAGAGCAGGAAGCGCACCGTGAGGCCCATTATGTGGGAATTGCGGTGAGATCTATTTCCAGAGCTGCTTTCCTGCAGCACTTCCCACAACTTCCCAGAAGTTGCTGTTTGCGTCTTCAGTTCTGAACCCTCTTGCTGGACACCCACATTTAAGGAATTTTCTGTGGCACAGTGTATCGTGGAGTCCCATAGCATGGTGCTTAGCGTGCTCGCCTTGGAAGCAAGAGGACCTGGGTTCAATCCCGGGCGGGGTGAAACCTTAGGGAAGTTTCCTTACTCTGCATGCCTATGTTACCTAGCAGTAAGTAGGGGCGCGGTTGTTAGTTGATTGGCGGATCACTTTTCGGGTGTAATAATCCATCCAAAAAAATCCACGGCTGTTTGTGGGACACTGCTGTGCGCAATTGGCCGCTGCGATTCGCCCACAGAATACACAGTCAATCAATCTACTTAATAATATATTCTGTGAAGCCCTTTGAGATGTCTCAACGACGTGTTAATGCACTATATCAAATGCAAGGATTATTATTATCAAGAATTTTCTGTAGCACGGTGTATGAACACTTTGATGTTTATTCTATTTAATATTTAATTTAATGTTGTGAGTTTTTTTAAAAACTCTGTGGTGAACAGTAGCGAGTCTCCTACTGAGTAAGCTTAAAACTCGTTTCTTCCGTGAACTTCAAACTCCTCTTCTAAAGATGCTGGATTACTGACTATAGGAGGTGGGCAATTTCCAGCACCATGTGTGTACAGCCCCTTGGAAGCACTCTTACCTCTAAAAGTCAGAAAGCTTTGGGTTCCAGACCACATCAGGACTTTGAGATGTCCTCCTGACATGAAGGGTGCTGTATAATAATAATAATAATCCTTGCATTTGATACAACACCTTTTTACATCGTTGAGACGTCTCTATGGTTGATTAACTATATTGTGTAGGTGAAACAAATATAAGAATTATTAATATATATGACAGGGGTGGTGGGGGGAAGGAATCACTCCCAAACTCTACAGTAAGTACTCTCACACTCACGCTCTGCCACAGAAGCTCCCGCTCACTTTGCAGCAAAGGTCTTCCGATAATTATCATGAGTGAAACCATGGCTGATCGTTCTCTGCCTTCCCCAGGAATATTGAGGCCAATATACTGAGGCTTCACGTTTTGCATTATTTAGGGTGGTAAGTAAAGGGAGCTTAGGTTTGAGGTTGTTGTTATCTGGGCCTGGTGGGTGCCATTATTTCAGAGAATCATATTAATAACAATGATGTAATTAATTAATAATAGGGATGATATTAATAATAATGTATTTTATAAGGAGTGGTTATTTTTAAGCATTCCCAGAGTTACCAGTGTATTACTCTCCACTGACTATATATCAAGCTGGAATGTATGAAGTTGTAGAAAATCTGTACATTTTCAGTAAGTGGATTAGTGGCTTGGGGTGCCTTTATTTTGATCGTTCGCTGTGTCAATTTTCCTGAGAGAATTGTGCAACAGGAGACTGGTTACGTCTTCAATAGAAGTACATTATTTTTAATTATTTATCACTTTAAAACGTCCATGGTAGGAATATGGCCTGAGCATAGGTTTTTACTTCACATATTCCTGTCCAAATCCACTCCCCTTCTTGTCCAGTCATTCTAATCTCCTAGGGTGGGGACTTCAGACTTTACACCTTCTTGCAAAGATTGTTCAACCTTTGGGATTTATAGTTGAAATCTATTTGAGGTGTTGCAGTGGCAGTAAATATTGCAAATAATGTTATCTAGGAGTCTTTGGGTGGTGCAGATTGCTCACTTTCTGGCTTTTATTTAAACTATTCGGTCATCCTATCTATTCCTATGGATGGACTTTCAGCCTTAGTGGCATCATTTAGAGAAGTTTGTGTACCTGTGTGTGTGTGTGTGTGTGTGTGCGTGCGCGCGCATGTTCATGTGTGTTGGTGAGAAAGCACTGTATGAGAGAGCGAGAAAGCCCACAAATTATACAGTCAATTCACTTTACAATATATTCTGTGAATCACTTTGAGACATCTCAATATTTGATAAGGCTCTATATCAAATACAAGGATTATTATTATCATTGTAAAAAAAACACTGTGTTGTGCTTTCGAAATTCTGTGACACATTAAACAATGTTTCACTCTGCACTGATCTGACCTGTTGTATGAATAAAAACATTTTAAGTCAATTTATTTAATTTCAGGGTAAACCACAAGATTCCCAAAATTGGTTTTTAAAAGCTCTTCAGAAACTTAATTTCTCTCTTGATTTAATAAACTTACATTTCAAACACTGTACAAATGCAGTTTTGTAACTTTTTTGTGCATCTGTGATAAATGGATTTTACTTTAATGTTCTTTGATTTTGCTATTGTGAAGGTTCTGCTAAGACTGTAAGAATAATATTATTCCTTACATTTGATACAGCGCTTTTTACAATGGGAGGCCACCACAGGATATCACAAGATTTACTTCAAAAGTGTAGTGACTTGTGATTTGTTTGAGAGCCACTGGTTTAACGTGTATCCAAAGGACGTCAACTCTGACGATTCAGCATTCCCCACAGCACTGCACTGGTACGTCATCCTGAACTGTGAGCTTAAAGTCCCAATACATTGCAGTTGCAAAAGCTTAAAACTGCTGCATGCGCCCATACCATTCTTCGTTTCAAAGCCCAGAAGTGATACACTTCCCATAGGATTTACAAAGTTATTGGTCCATTCATTGGTTGTGTCTTTAGTCTGTTGTTTCTACTTAAACTGGGGGGGGAAAGTGCCTCCTTCCACAGCGGCTTAGATACTAAAAGCCACCGCCTGGGGCATAGCTGATCCGACCAGATCAGAAAGTTGCACGTTTGATCTGCAGTCCATGCTGAGTTAGTTGAACTCAGTGGGGAGCTCAACAATTGAAAATTGGGCCCAGAATGTCCCCTGGTTAAAGGGGGGGGGAATTAAAGAAAAATAAATAAATGTTCTGATTGCTATCCAGGGCCCCCCACCCCACGTGATGTGTGCGGATGTTGGGCATGTAACCAGGCGCCCGAATCCTGTTTAGCCAACTCCTGTCAAACAGTCTGCCGGCACGGAGTCGCTAGGCTTGTGTATAAATAAATGGCCACTTAGCTGAGGTTCTGGAAGCTGGCTCATGCCTGTGGAAATACGAGGGTCAGTGTCTTCAGGAGAAGGGGGCACAGGGTTGGAGGTGTGGAAAATGTATTTACGAAAACCTATTTGCGTGACTAGAGTGCTCTCATGCAGCCTATTCTGCCAAGATATTCTCCTTTCCACTGCTGTAATAACTTGTCGTCTCAAGACCTTCCTCTTTGACCCCACCTTCGTCCACACTCCTACCTCCCACTACCCTCCACCCCTCTTGATTCCAATCCCTAGCTTGGGTACAAACCCTTAATTGTCCAGCGCCTTGCGACTGAAAAGCGCAATACAAATGTAATTTAGATAAAATAATAATATGTTGTAATCCAAGTCCAAGGTGCCTTTAAATTTTGTATTTGTTTTCAGCACTCTTCCGAACATCCAAGAGCATTTTGATAAAGTTTTTACTACATTTGTGACTCAGAGAGACTTATGGAGTATTAATAATAATCCTTGTATTTGACATAGCGTCTTTCACCCATGAGAACGTCTCAAAGTGCTTCACAGGATTTTACAATAAAGTGTAGTGACTGTGTATTTTGTTGCTTATGTTGCATAGGGCTCAGTGCTGTGCCTCTGTTTGTTTCAGTCTGAGTGGAATCCAGTGCGTTAATGTGTGGCTATTCTGAGCTTTTAAGAGTTGTGGGTAGAATTTTCACATGAAGCTTGATGGTAAAAGTTTCTTCACCCCAAATCCTTATTCACAGTGTGTTATGGAAGGGTTCAGGTTGCATCAATCGGGTGTGTGAAGTAAATCTAACTTGCCCTCAACGTTGACATCAATTTCACCTCTGCGAACCCCATTTTTCTTCCCTCTCTCTCTCTCTCTGCAGTGACAGCTACATTGTACGTGTTAAAGCTGTGGTTATGACCCGAGATGACTCGGGATGGTTACCACAAGAAGGGGGCGGTCTCAGTCGAGTTGGCGTCTGCAAGGTCGTTCAGCCAGAGGGCAACGGCAGAAGTGATTTTCTGATCCACGGTGAACGGCTTAGAGACAAGCTGGTAGGTGAAGCAGTTTGCAGAGTAAAAGCTTTGATGACTTCATGTCATTTAGCACCACTCCATCCGAGGCTCAGAAGGAAAGCATTTATTCTTTTGAAACCCGTGCAACTGCAATGACTTGACCTACTGAACAAAAGATAAATTTCCCCCTTTTTTTATAGCAGTTATAAACTTAAACCAGTCAAATAGTTGTGCAGCAATTGCTGTAATAAATATACCGGGCTCTTGGCTTGGCATGCCCCCTCATGCATCGTTTCATCAGTAGTTTAAAACGGCCACCCCCAGTTTTCACACATTCATTGCTTTTTACCTGCAGCATGGTATGTTTACAAACATGTTATAAAGTAAGACACAGGTTTTAAGTCTTCTCTCGATTGCTATCTTGGCGAGGGGAAAGCAGCCGTGTTGGCCAGTAAATTGGGAGAAGCTCCCTTCTCTTTTCAAACAGGGGCATGAAATCTTTTAACGTCCACCTAAACAGCTTTCACATTGTGAGACCTATACCACGACTATTGGGTCCATTACAGTGCGATTTGCTAAAGGCATCCTGGGGTTTAGCTCTTTATTCTGTTGAGATTCCGGACAACTCACTTATTTTACCATTACTATTATTTCTTACTCAGCCCTGAGCAATCACTATTTGTTTTTTTTAATTCCTAAGCTGCATTTGTATCTTACTACATGCAAAAGTGATTGATAAATCACACGTATAACGAATTGTTCAGAGAAAAAGCCTTCATGTAATAAGAAAATGATAATATGATAATAACTCTTGCATTTGATATAGCGCCTTATATCATTGAGACGTCTCAAAGCTCTTCACAGAATATACAGTAAAGTGAAGTGACCAACTCCCTAATGTGGTCAGTTTCTTTTTTGTAGACTGTTTTAGTTCAATATTGTACTGTAGAGTGATACAAACTCACAGGTGAGGTTAAATCTGCTAATTCCTCAGTCCGTTTGCTGACCTTCATAGGGGACTTATTTTGCCCTTTGTTATAGTGGATTATAACCTAATCAAAACTAATCTTACACAATATTGTAACTGCGATGCAAACAGGCGTTTTCACATGATTTCCAAAGTAAATATCAGCAACAGTGTTAATGGAGGCGACTCTGTTGGAGAGAGATCTCATTAATACAAGCAGCATCTGTATTCCTCACTTGAAATGCTGTGCTGGGGAATATTTTATGCTCCCTTAAGGAAAGACATGAAAGACAAGATATTGAAAACTGCTTAAGGTAGATTTGCACTGCTGCCCTGTTTCAGTATAATTCTATTCCTTTGGGTTTCCGCCTGGCTCAGTTGGTAGCACTGATGGAGTCAGAAAGTTGTGGTTTCAAGCCCACTTTGGGACTTTAAACTGGCATAGACAATGCTGAAGTTCCAGGACGTTGCTGTTGGAGGTTACATCCTTCAGGTGTCAAACTCAGGACACATCTGCCTGTTCAGGTGGATATTTAAGATCCGGCAAAGCTATTTGAAAAGAGAAGGGAGTTTCTCCTGGTATCCTGGCCAATAACCCCCACATAAATTTGGCTCTGTGTGGGACAATGTGGGACATTTATATTTTTTTTAAAAAGACTAATATTGATGCAGTTTAATCGGAAATAATAATAATCCTTGCATTTGATATCACAATTATAAGAGCAGAAATACAGTGAGTTGTAAATTTAGAACCATGCAAAATGCTGAATAAATGAAATTAAGCCACATAGAATTATCACCGGTGCTGGGCTCAAAAGCAGGAAGAATGCCAGTCCACACTTAATGTGTAGCGTATTTCTAGTATCTCCAGGGCGCAGGTTTATAAACAGACTAGCGCTCTAGTGAGGCGAGTTATAACTGTCATGTGCAAAGCTGCTAACAGGAGAGCTGATGTATATGTCGTCATTGAAAGGCAAGCTATCACATTTTTGGGGGGTCAGCCAGGTGTCTGACATCACCGTGCTTAAGAATATTCAAACCAAACTTGAGAATTCCATAATCCCACCTACACATGGAAATTCCTGAGATAGATTGTGGGAATGGAAGGGATGCATCCCGTTTACCCAATCCGGAAAACGTATTATGAAATCTTATTTTACATAATGCCTCAACCAGCTTGTTTTATTATTAATTATAAAAATCCTTGCATTTGATATAGCGCCTTGTCACGTCGTCAAGACGCCTGAACACTTTACAGGATTCACTGTAAAGTGATGTGACTGTATGTATTTGGTGGGGTTTTCAAAACTTTGTGGCTTGAATTGTAGAGAGTAGCAACAGAAGATTGCTGGAGGTTCTGATAATCCAGTTTTTAAGAGGATTACTTTAAGGCATTATTCATCATGCACCTCATTCAGGATATCGTGGGTGAATGATAAATTCAAGCTGATTATTTGTTTTTTACAGAGCATCGCAGTGCGCAATTTGGCTGCCGGTTCGCCTACGGAATACAGTCACCAAACTTTACAGTAAATCCTGTGTAAATCTTTGAAACGTCCTCTTGATGTGAAAGGTGCTGCATCAAATGCAAGGATTATCATTATTATTAACGCGGCAGCCAATTTGCACACAGCAACATCTCCCAAACAGCCATAATAATAATAATAAGCCTTGCATAATCCATGAAGCGAATGGCCAATTTTATTGTTATTATGGACAATTATTATTTAAAATTGCTCTGTCAAAATTGAAATTGAAATTGATGCTGTGAACATTATTTAAAGAAAACCTGATCTATATTTTTATTTTGAAACTACACTCTAGGTGGTATTGGAATGCTTCTTGAAGAAAGACTTGGTCTATACTAAAGCAACACCTACATTTCATCATTGGATGGTTGACAGCAGGAAGTTTGGACTGACATTTCAGAGCCCTGCCGATGCTCGAGCCTTTGACCGAGGAGTGAGGAAAGCAATTGAGGATCTTACAGAAGGTATCGTTCGTCTTTAAATCATGCGTTTGGGTTTTTGAGCTTCTCTTACTCTCCTGCAAAGCAAACTTTGCTTGTGTTTGATATGTTCGTAATGTAGCTAGTAATTACAGAGCCAGTGTATTACAGTCAGTATAAAACCTGGTTCATGAAAAAAACGCACAAAAGCTGATTTTCTGCAGAATGACACAGACTATATACAACATCAAACCAGCTCATTCGGCCCATCTGGTCTGTGACTGTGTTAATACTTCCATGAGCCTCCTCCACACATTCTCAATCCCTGTAAACTACAGGGTGTTCACAAAGTCCTGTTACTCCCATGTTTTTTTCTACAGTGCACTGACCAACATCTGAAACGTGTGGAAGAATGATAATAACTGTATTTAAAACTACTTCATTGTATTCAGTACAAATTTTTATTTTCTGTTGCTGTGGAGTTGAGTGTGACAATGTCTGACACCGGTAATTGTATTCAGGCGATCAGAGGATCGGTGAGTGTGTGTGTGTGAGAGCACCATCATTTTCATGACAGATAATGATCCGTCGCCATGTTCGTGCCACATCTTGCGTAACATGGATGGAGTGATGAGGAAGTTACCGGTGTCAGACATTGTCACACTCAACTCCACAGCAACAGAAAATAAAAATTAATTGTAAGATTTAAAAATACACACAGGGAGTAACTGGACTTTGTGAACACCCCTGTACGGGGGTATGGGGTAAAGGGTAGGTAAATGGGACTGAAAGGATTGCCCTTAAAAGAGTCAGCGCAGACACAATGGGCCGAATAGCCACCTTCTGTGCTTCTTGATTTCAGTCTTAAATGGCCTGGTTCTAATTTTAAGACGATGCCCCCTTGTTTTTGATTCCCCCTCTAGAGGAAATAGCTTCTCTGTATCTACCCTATCAATTTCCTTTGTCATCTTAAACACCTCATTCAAATCACCCCTCAACCTTCTAAACTCAAGGGAATACAATGTAAATTTTTGCAGCCTTTCCTCGTAACTTAATTCTTTAAGGCCTGGTAACATTCTAGTGAACCTGCTCTGCACCCCCTCCAGGGCCACTGTAAAGTGGATTGACTGTGTATTTTGTGGATGAAACACGGCACCCGGTCTCACATAGCAGTGTCCCACAAACAGCCATTGAATGAGCAACAAATTTTATTCTGGGGGATTATTGGCCCGGACACCGGACTATTTAATGTGGCACTTGCCTTTCCATTGTGATCTAAAGTTGCTAAGTTATACTGAACCCATCTGTCTTAGCTTTGTAACATCTATTTGGAATCCTGTAATTTTAAGTACCAACACAGTAGCCAGTCCTGGCTAACATCTGCCTTGCAAGAGACTTTTTTTTTGAATAGTTTTTCATTGATCCTGGAGGATAAAGCCTGGAGAAACCCCCTTTTCATTTTGAATTGCACCTTGGGGTCTTTAACGTCCACCTGAACAGGCAGATGGGACCTCATTTAACGTCATCCGAAGGACAGCACCTCTGACAATGCAATACACCCCTAACACTGTATTCGAGCGTCAGCTTAGACAATGTGATTCCAAGTTCCAACCATTTTTATTCAATTGCGGTCACTACCCATCCTGCAGTCCTGTTAATAATCATCCAGCTCATTTTTAAAGGACTTGGTTGACATTGCCGTCCTTCGGATGAGATGTTAAATGTTCGGGTGGTTAAAGATTCCATGGTGCTACTCAATAAGAGAAGGGAGCTTCTCCAGTTGTCCGAGCCAACAATCCCCAAGATAAAATTTGTTCGTTCATTTTGTGGCTGTTTGTGAGACATTGCTGTGCGCAAGTTAATTGTCGGATCACAGGATCCCTATGTTACAAGTGAACTTGAGCTTTAGTGAGGCTCCTTATAAAAAGGTCACTCTATATTGCACCAGGTTTGGTGGGACGTTGCTGAGTGTAACTGCCTGCTGCGTTTTGTCCACAAAATACACTGTCACTCCACTTTACAGAATATTCTGTGAAGAGCTTTGAGACGTCTCAATGACATGATAAGGCACTATTTTCAAATACAAAGATTATTATTTATAGTACGAAGGGAAAGGTATCTATAATTTTGTTTGTACAGCCTTTTAAGATTTATTTGGTAGATGTTGTCATTTTGGGCATGATTACATTTTCAGGAAATATTTTTTTCACTCTTTTCCCCCCCCCCCACCCAGGGTCAACCACATCATCTTCAACAATTCAGAATGAAGCTGAGGTCGGTGATGATGACGTGTTTATAGTAAGTACAGACCAGCACTGACGCTGTCCAGTCTCTCCTAGCCCCTGAACAACCTTCTTTGCAGTGGTATTACAGTCTTATTATTCACCAGCGATTCAGGTGTTGAGACTTGGAATGACAAACCCCTACGTGTAGGCCAGAAATCAAACGCAAGCTGTCTCTGTGGCACCAGATCTGGAGATAAAAAACTAAACTTGCATGCAGAGAGATGGTATTGCCCTAACGTCAAATGCTTTCAGTCCAGAAATCTGGTGATTGTACAAGGTGTCCACAAAATCGTGTTACCCCCGTGTTTTTTTCTCTACCGTGCAGTAAGTAACAACTGAAACATGTGGCAGAATGATAATGTATTTCGAAGTACTTAATTGTATTCATTAAAAATGTGTAATTGTATTTAGATGTCTAGAGGATCTGTGGCGTGAGCGGCATCATTCTCATGGCAGGTAATGATCCATCGTCATGTTCGGTGTGACATCTTCCGTAACATGATGGAGTGACAAGGCGAAATGCATCTCCAACAACTTGTTTCAATTACTTAGTAGTCTCACATTGCTGTTTTGTATCCAGGGGTAATAGGACTTTATGGACATCTTTTAGGTGCACACATTCGGTCTGTTTTTTGTATGGTCATAAACCTTTTTCTCCGTTTACAAATGAACATCTTTGAACAAAGACGTTGTGCCTGTTCGCAAGTAATTCAAGTGAGAAGAGGCTGCTTATTTTAATGAAGAATCTCATTCTATTAGATGTAGAAAGTTGCACAAGCTGAATCGCTTTTCCACAGTTTCCATCCATATTTATCTTGGTTCAAGAGTACAGCTATTCTAGCTCTGGTGGTCAAGTTATTTTGCTGGTGACATAAATTACTATTTGTAATTGATTTGTCCATATTTGTTGTGATGCAGATTACATTCACCAACCATACCTCGGGCAGAAGAGATTTCTTTCAGAATTCACACTGTGCAGTAATTGAGATGATCAGCTGATGTTAGTTTTGTTCTTTAAAAGTGATCTTTTAGTGTTGCAGTAATATTAACCCTTGTATTTGATATAGCGCCTTATCACGCCTTCAAGATGTCTCAAAGTGCTTCAAAGAATATACTGTAAAGTGGATTGACAGTGTATTTTGTGGGTGAAATACAGCAGCCAATTGCGCATAGCTGATTCCCACGTGGATTGAGTGACCAAATTATTATTTTTTTCCATTGTGAAAATGGAAGCTACCCTTTACATTGTGACCTAAAGTAGCTAAGTTACATTGAACCCATCTGCCTTAGCTTTATAACATCTATGTGGAATCCTGTCATTGTAAGCACCAACCACCACAGTAGCCAGTCCTGGCTAAGGTCTGCCTTGCACAGTTTTTCATTGATCCTGGAGGATAAAGCCAGATTTGCAATGTCCTGTTGCACTTCGACCAGACTGCTCTGACACTTGGCAATTCGTTTGCTTTCATTCCTTTGTCACTAACCTTAGAGACGAGCAACAGGAGGTTGGGTTAAAAGGTGACTTCCTGTGCTCTTCAGTCAAACTATCATTAGCAGCTGCTTCCCAACTACCTGCCAAAGTGATTTATTAGGGCGCCCTGGCAAGAGGAGACTTGCTCAGTGTGGAATCTCGCTCTGGTTTTAATGTAGCTGTCGTACAGCGCTTTGGAATGTTTGATTTTATGTTAAGTTTTTTTTAGGCCCCCACTTATCTCTTTCAAACTTATTTATGAGCTGGTAGGTAACCAGATAATACTAGCTGGATAACCTGGTTTATTGTTCTATTTCCTGTTTCTGTCACAGGTCCCTAAGCCAATGATGAATTACAGGCCGACAGGTCAGAGATGCGGTTGCTTTTTTGCTCTGTCAGGGCTGACCTGATGTGTGGTAGCAGGAATAAAGGAAGTGACCCTTCTCTGAAAATTGTCTGTATGAAGCCGAATAATTGTAGACAGCAGTGATACTGATGTGGATTTACAGCTTAGGGCCAGAAGGGTATGTAGCTCGTGAATTTTGGTGGCTAAGCAGAACTATGTCGCTGTGTGCTAATTGGCTGCCACATTCGCCCACATTACACAGCCACTACACTTTATCCATTGTAAACCTCGGGGCCGCTGTCTTGTAATCTAGTGGTTAGCACGCTCACCTTGCAAGTAAGTGAGAGGATCCAGGTTTGATTCCCAAGTGGCCAGAAACGTTAGGCAAATTTCCTTACTCCACACAACTCTGTTTACCAGCAGTAAGGAACCCGGTCGTAATCCAGGGTTAATAATCCCTTCAAATTAATTCACGACTGTTTGTGGGACGCTGCTGAGCACAATTGGCTACCGCATTTCACCCACAAAATACACAGTCAATCTACTTTACAACATATTCTGTGAAGAGCTTTGAGATGTCTCAGTGGCATGATAAGGCGCTATATCGAATGCAAGGATTATTGTTATTATGGTACACCCACAGTCATTAAAATCTTGGAATCTGGTGCCCAAGAGGGGAGGCATCCAGCCCTCGTTCTGTCCATCCCAGAATGAAGCTGCTTAAATCAGGATCTGAGTGTGTTATTCCATGGCAATGATCCCAAATCCCATCACTGTGGCAGTGTGCATTGAAGCTCGCAACAGACTCAAGTAAATTACTATGCAGCTCTGTAGATGTTTACTTTGTAACTTTCTCTATCTTATTCTCTTGCTTTTTCCCTCAATCTCCTTTTGCTCCCACCTGACATTGGATTCCATTTCATAGAAGAGCTGCATTATCGGAGTTGCCGTCCTTCAGATAAGAGTTTAAACCGAGATCCTGTCTGTGTCTTTTCAGGTAGATGTTAACTAACCCACTAACCGAAAAGAGAAGGGAGTGTCCTGTTCAGTACTCTTTACAGCAAAATTTCTGTGAAGTGTTTTGAGTCATTTCAATGAGGTGAAAAGGCACGACAGTGTATCAATAGTTTGCATGTTTTATCCGATTGTAAGTTCTCCCATTCAGAAGAAGGTTCTGATGTATTTAAAACAGTCATGGAAACAGAACTAAAAATGAGCAAGCTTAATATACAGGCTTGTTTCCTCTGATTTCCTGCGGTGTTAGTTTTACTCTGTTGAAAATGACTCAAAGTTGTAATCTGTCAGACAGCATTTGGTTTTGTTTAGGTCATACCGTCTCCATAATTCTCCACTACTGCACACGGTCTAGCGTTCAGAACTTTGTTTCAGTGTTATGGAGGTATTGTTCTTCGTGCCACAACTATGCAAAATGCTTTGTCTGAGTACTTTTGTGTTTATAAAGCATTATTTTTTACGGAAGCTTTGATTGGACCAAGCTGGAGCTGTGTAGGAGGTAAGCAAAGGTGTTTGTGGTCATTTGCAGATGGTGCTGCTGGTACGTACAGTGGTTGATTGCTGGATTTCTGTCCAGGCTGTTGTAGATACCAGCGTTTTGCATATTAACCATTTAATATTTAACCTCTTTTAGTTTAGTCTCAGCATGCACGCATTTCAAGACATTGGTACAAGATGAATATAAGGCAAATTTCTTTTTTCCGCAAGCCGCTGTTTACCAAGCCCAGTTGTTAGTCAATTGGTGGATTGTATTCCGGGGATAATAATCCCTCCACTCCCCCATCCCCACCAAAATTGATCACTCAATCCACGATTGTTTGTGGGACACTGCTGTGCACAATTGGCTGCCGCGTTTTCGCCCACAAAATACACAGTCAATCTGCTTTACAATGTAGTCTGTGGAGTGCTGTGAAATGTATCAATGTCGTGATAAGGCACTATATCAAATGCAAGGATCATTATTATTCTAAGATTATATAAAATAGAATGTAAGAAATTATATAATGATAATCCTTACATCGATATACCACCTTTCACATTAGGAGTCCCATGTCTCGAAGTGCCTCACAGGTTCACCCACTGCTCAAAACTGAGTAGTCCAAGCGGTGCCTGGTGTGGAGTGGAGGTGCGCAATATCTTTTCAGTTAAGAAAACTGTTCAAGCGGGAATCCTTCACTGCACGTGAAATTTTAAGTGAATAATAATAATAAGCCTTGCATTTCATATAGCGCCTTATCACATTTGTGACACGTCACAAAGAGCTCCACAGAATATACGATGAAGTGAATTGACTGTGTATTTTGTGGGTGAAACACGGCAGCCAATTGCACACAGCAGTGTCCCTCAAACAGTCGTGGATTTTTTGGGGAAAGCGAACAGCCAGTCGACTAACAACCAGGTTCCTACTTACTCCTAGGTAAACAGAGGCCTGTGGAATTAGGGAACTTCGCCTAAGGTTTTGCGCCGGGAATCAAACCCGGGTCCTCTCGCAAGGCTAGCACCCGAACCACTACTCTACGGGACTCCACAAGAATAATGTAGCTCAAGTGGCTCAAAGGTTCCAGGCCAGTTTTCCCGTCCCTCCCCCTTCGCGAGGTGGTGGAGAGGATACACAAATCGACTTTGTCCTCTTCTTTTGGCAGTGGCGTGCAGAACAGGCCAGCACAGCTTGTAAACATTATTTTGTTTGAGAAAGAGGTAGAATTTGGCAAGCGGACAACAAGATGATTGACAACTTCCTGTTAGGCCAGCGAGGATTAGGGAATCGCCTCAGTGTGCATAACTGCACTTTGAGCAAAGCCTGGGAACACGCTGAAAGGAAGTGGGATGTGAAATGAGTGCAGAGCTAAGCCTGGCCCAGAGCATCCGAGAGCTTTAAAAACAGCTCCATGCTTTCACTCTTCGTTGTGACCATCTGTCACGATGGTGACAGGAAGAGCGTTGGCACAGAATTGGTGAAGGGCAAACGTTTTTTAAGTTATATAAAAAAAAGTGCTTGTAATTGTATTATTCTGCTGCAAAAGTTTATTTTCATCGAGACTGAAACTTTGTGTGTGTGTGTGTGTATGTGTTTCTTATTCTGTTTACTGTTCTATGCTACAGTAATTCTGTCCTTCCTGTAAGGCGAAGGGCTTGCCAAAATCTGTTTTACATTCACAGTGCCACCGGTTTGACATAACTG